ACCCCGCCGCGAGAGGCCAAACCCCGCTGCGAGAGGCCAGACCCCACGACGAGAGGCCAGACCCCACGACGAGAGGCCAGACCCCTATGGAGAGAATGATTGTATATACTAGACCCCACCACGAGAGGCCAGACCCCTACGGAGAGAATGATTGTATATACTAGGCCCCACGACGAGAGGCCAGACCCCGCTGCGAGAGGCCAGACCCCGCTGCGAGAGGCCAGACCCCGCCGCGAGAGGCCAACGAGGGGGCCAAGGTCCCTCTCCGGAGCGCCGCCTGCTTCGATGCGGTCCGCTTCAAAAAGCCCAGTCGAGCGCGTCGTGCTCGATGTCATTGAGGTCACCGCGTCAATGGTGAGCGGGATTGCACCTGCCCTGTTGCGCACACATCCTGACCGTCAGGGGCGACACGGAATAAAAGAAAGTCTATGTACAAGTTTTATTTACATATTCCTATACAATATTCTATATACAATTTTCCTATGTACACTGTTCTATATACAATGTTCTATTTCGTATGTACACGTCTGATCATTTGCGATCAAATATCACTCTTTTCGCCTTGGGTTTTTTCAGGCAGCGGTTGCAGAATATCTCGCCCTCTTTGGCCACCTTGGCTGTGCACATATGCTCCCTGACCGTCCCAAGCTGTGAGGCACATATGCAGTGCTTCGAAATCTTCATTGTGTGCAGGATCTCCGTGTGGCGAGCCTCGCGCTCAACGGCCGTCTTGTGCTCACCGGACGCCCAGGTCCACTGGGCGATGTCGTCGTCCAGGACAATCTTCTCAGTTTTCTCGTTCTTCGGGTCGTAATCCTCGCCCGTCGACGCCAAGGCCCCTCGGAACTTGTTGTTCTTGCTAAAGTTGCACAGGGTAAGGCGCAACCGGTCTGACGGGTTCTCCTCGAGGACCCGGTTAGTGTCGCGCACCACCTGGGCAAAGCCGCGGAGCTGCTCGAGTTCCCACCCGGACTCGCCGCTAAAGCGCGTGCACCCCACCGTCAGGTGCCGACCAGTCCCGTTGTACTCCCCATCCATCATGCCGTCCAAGAGGTTGAGGCGAGAAATTTCCTTAACGATATCATAATTGCTGTGACCTTTGGCGTCGTCAATCTCAATGAAATTGATGCAGTTCAGGCCCCGGAGCCCCCAGTCGCCCCTGGCACCACCGTTGACTTTGCCGCAGGCGTTCTTGGACGGGTCACAGGCCTTGATGATAACCTCGCGGGTCATAAAAATAGAACGAGTGTCCATGCCGAGGATCAGGGCGACGGTGTTGATGACCAATGACTCAAGTGACGCGTTGCCGAGGCCATACTCGGTGATACACGCGCTACAGACAGTCGCGTTGGGAGTGCAGACCTTCGCGTTGTCCACGGAGCAGGCGAGACCGAGTCCTTTGAGCTGTGGGCTGTCGTCCGGGATGCAGTCGAAGCAGGCGCCGGCGGCTCTCGAGTAGCACGGCGACGTGCAGGCGCACACGCCGTTGTTGTAGTGGGCCCGGCAGATCCGCGCCCCGTCCGGCCCACGCGTCCCAAGGCCGCGGCAATTGGCGACAGTGCATCCGTAGAGGTCGAGCCTGGTCCCGGCGCAGTCGGCACACGCGTCGATGCCAGCCAAGGACCCGGGGCTGTCGCAGTGGACACACGGCGAGTGTATTTGCTTGTGCGTGTTGAGAGCACTCGACTGCGCGAACGCTCGATTGCAACCGGTGTAATCGCAGACATACGGCTTATCGCCAGTATGTGTATGCATATGGCTTTTGAGATTGTGAGACAATGAGAACCTCTTACCACAGCCAGTAAACTTACAGGCGTAAGGCTGTTCGCCGGTGTGTGTACGCATATGGCGTTTGAGCTGGTCAGATCGTGAGAACTTTTTACTACAGCCAGTAAACTTACACACGTAAGGCTGTTCGCCGGTATGTGTACGCATATGGTTTTTGAGATGCTGAGACAATGAGAACCTCTTACTACAGCCAGTAAACTTACAGGCGTAAGGCTGTTCGCCGGTGTGTGTACGCATATGGCTTTTGAGTTGCTGAGATTGCGTGAACTTTTTATCGCAACTAGCGAAATCACATGCAAAAGGCTGATCGCCGGTATGTGTACGCATATGTGTTTTGAGACTACAGGACGTTGAGAACTTTTTATCGCAACTAGCGAAATCACATGCAAAAGGCTGTTCGCCGGTGTGTGTACGCATATGGCGTTTGAGCTGGTCAGATCGTGAGAACTTTTTACTACAGCCAGTAAACTTACAGGCGTAAGGCTGTTCGCCCGTGTGAACTCGTATGTGCACTTTTAGTTTAGAAGGTGTTGCACACAACATACCACAGACGTCACATGCATGTGGGGCTTTCACGCGTTTATGCGCCCGGCCCTGGGAATCGCTCGAAGAGGAGGCCTCCGACGTCTGGGAGTCCGACGCTGTCGCGCTGCTCGACTCCTCAGAGGACCGGGCCCTCTTGAGCTGAACCGCGACAACAGGCGATGTGCCGTCTGGGTAAACTGAGTGCTGCATGGTGGACGTTGATGTGTAATAAAAGTATAAAGTGTAATTATGAATAATTCACGAGTGTGTTCTCGTGATATATAGACATAATTTTTTTTCAGTTTGCACACATTACCTGGTAGTGTGATCTCATTGGCCATTCGGTTGTTCGGGAGCACGCACGGCGCAGGAGGTGTGCAGTCTCTGTTATCTTCCAGGACACCCGCACTGAAGCCCTTGATGCCGCGGCCTCTGCCGGCCTTCTCGAGGGCCCTGTCGGCTTCCGACTGGTGGCAAGCTCTACGACCCCCCACGACCTCGGCTGGCGGCTGGTGGCGGGCTCTACGGCCCCACGACCTCGGCTGGCGACTGCCCGCTCACCGCAGCCAGCCCGCCGATCGCAATGCCGAGCTCGCTCTGGCCCATCTGCCCCTGAAATGAACTTTGACCTCGAGTACACTGAGCTCGTCACCCACATCGACCGAGCCAGCGCCAGCCCCGCGACCCTACCCCCCAGCCCCAGCGCTCCAAACGACATCATGTGGCGCTACATCCACATGTACGCGCGTCACCTTGCCACCATCAACTGTGACACCCCCCTGCTGGACCAGGCCGTCCGCGACTACCCCATAGCGACAGGGCTGGCGGTGGCGGGGCGATCGACCAGTTGGCTGGCGGGGGTGCAGAGGGCCAACCCCATAGCGACAGGGCTGGCGGTGGCGGGGCGATCGACCAGTTGGCTGGCAGGGGGTGCAGAGGGCCAACCCCATAGCGACAGGGCTGGCGGCGGCGGGGCGATCGACCAGTTGCACATGTTCAGGTTAAAACGTCATCTGTATCCGGGTATTTTCATTGGTGAAGTGCATGCAAAATCAGTCTCTACACCATGGCACATGTTCAGGTTAAAACGTCATCTGTATCCGGGTATTTTCATTGGGGCAGAGCATGCAAAATCAGTCTCCGCACCACGGCACATGTTCAAGTTAAAAGGCCATCTGTATCCGGGTATTTTCATTGGTGAAGTGCATGCAAAATCAGTCTCTACACCATGGCACATGTTCAAGTTAAAAGGCCATCTGTATCCGGGTATTTTCGTTGGTGCAGAGCATGCAAAATCAGTCTCCGCACCACGGCACATGTTCAGGTTAAAAGGCCATCTGTATCCGGGTATTTTCATTGGTGAAGTGCATGCAAAATCAGTCTCTACACCATGGCACATGTTCAAGTTAAAAGGTCATCTGTATCCGGGTATTTTCGTTGGTGCAGAGCATGCAAAATCAGTCTCCGCACCACGGCACATGTTCAGGTTAAAAGGCCATCTGTCTCCGACAATTTCATTGGCGCAGAGGTTAAAACGGCATCTGTCTCCTTCCATTTCATTGGCGCATAAATTTTCCGAGAGCCAATCGTGTCTCACAAACTCAAGCGTGATGAATCGGTCCCCGTCGATGGACCCCGAGGATGGGGACGGTCACTCCGCGCATTCTCATTGGCCCACCCCAGCCAGTGCCCACTGCCTACTTTTTTCCGCGCCCGAAACCTTCCATATTTGGCCGTGGCCCGCATCCCATTGGTGCATAGAACGCCATAGTGAACTTTGTTTTTTTTTTTAGTTACCATATACGGCAAATGGTGTTTAGTTATCTGACGCCTTTTGCTACAGCAATCTCGACTTCACCCTCTGGCGATTTTTTTCGTACCCCTCTCCGGCAAATTTGTATAAAGTCAGCCACTTAATATTTTTATACTTCACAATTTTATTGTAGACTTCAAGTTCACAATACATCCCAATCCCAACGCTCAACGCTCAACGCTCAACGCTCACAATGTCTACCCAGACCGGCTCCAAGTGGTTCGGTGGAACAACCCATCTGTTCAACCTCCTCAAGGAACCCCTCGTGGCTGCCCTCACCCAGCGCGTCGTCATGTTTGACAACAAGCCCTGTGTCGACGCCTACGTCTCCGCCGTGACCGAGGTCGCCAACGCCGACCCCGAGCTCCACCGCATCAAGCACGTCGGCACCATCGAGTACTACCTGGACGCTGACAAGAAGGCCGTCCTGACCGGCGGCGGCCACCGCTACCACGTCACCTTTTGCATGGCCATTGTGCTCCGCTACCTGGCCATGGAGGTTTTCACCCTGTACGTCGCCGCCACCGGCGGCAAGCCCTCGTCCACCGCCAACCGCCTGCTCACCCTCGTCCACCAGCTTGCCGCCTGCTTTGTGCAGGTCAACGACGAGACCGGGACCAGCACCATGAACTACAAATCCAACATTGCCGGCCACCAGAAGTTCATGTCCGCCCTGGCCTATTTGACATCCCCTCTGTCGTCGGACTCCGTGACCTGGAGGGCCCCCAGGTGTACCCCCATCTCGTCCCCGACTCCGAGACCCACGGCCGGGGCTTCATGGTCAAGTACTGCAACGCGTTCGCCGGCCTCTTTGACGACAAGCGCATGGCCGGCTTCACCCACCCCGCCATGGCCGGCTTCCGCCAGTACAGCATCCCCATCACCTCAATGATGGGCTCGCGCGCGGTGCAGGACATCCTCGCTATGGCCCGTGGACCCACCCCCGTCTGGGGGGCTGTCTGCGGCTCCGTGCAGCGCCTGGCCGAGGGCTGCGCCACCGCCATCAAGGTCGAGACCCTGGAAATGCACCGGAGCAGCATCATGGACTCGAACAAGTCGCTGTCGTCCATGACCTCGATGTGCCACATCAACTCGGCCGTCATGTCCCGCCTGGCCTGGCTGCCGGACTTTGCGCCTCTGTGCACCGAGCTGAACGGCTACTACGACGCCATGATGTCCGTGCTGCCGTTCCCGATGAGCCCCAGCACCTCGCCCGTGGACGCCGCCCAGGTGCAGATCCGCTACCTGCACCACTCGCTGTTCAAGAACCTGCTGGCCAAGCAGATGGCCCTCAACCTGGAGGGGTGCACCTCGCTCGAGAACGCCAAGTCGTCCTACGCCATGGCCGGGACCTATGTACCGTCCAGCGACGTGGCCTGCGAGTTCCTGGCCCTGCGGTACTGCAGCTCGGGCATGGCCGTCGAGTCCGTGATGCGCGGCCGGCTGACGGAGAGCTTTGCCGCAGCGCACCTGTCCGAGACCGCCGCCTTGGTGGACCTCAACGCGGCGCTCCATGACTTCCGCTCCGGGAACTACCCCGCGCTGGTGATGCCGCTGCTGGCCATGCTGGAGGCCTTCCACTTCCGCGTCAAGGGCACCCAGGACCGCCTGGTCGAGACGTACCGGTGCTTCGCCGCGGCCGAGAGCTGGGAGTACCTGCAGACCATGGTCGAGTACGCCAAGCACCAGGGCAGCAAGGTCTTCAATGACGGGGCGCTGAGCGACAACCTCGAGCTGGCCCGGGCGAGGAAGATGATTGACAACTTGCACTCAGCCTACGACTCAATGCTCACTGTGGCGGGCGTCCCGCTCTATGGCACTGGATTGCGCGAGGTCATGGTCTCAACACTGGTCCGGGTGGCGACCGAGGCCAGCCCAACAACCATTTTTGCCTCCCGGGACCGGTTCATGGAGAACATCCGGGGCGGCAAGGGGGCCGTCCCCACACGCAAGCGCCGGGTGCTGCCGAGCGAGCTGGAGACGATGTGCACGGAGCTGGCCTCGGAGGTGCGGCTGCTGATGGCCGCGGACACGCTGCTGGCGCTGGGCGTCCCGAGGAGCAAGGACGGCAAGGTCGGCAAGGCCGGCAAGGATGCCATGCGGCGGGCCGCCCAGGTCGCAAACGAGCTCCGCCCCGAGGAGGAGCAGCTCGAGTACCCGACCTGGGAGAAGCCGACGGAGCCCGAGAAGAATGCGCTGCTGGACTATCTCGGCGAGCTCGTGGACCTGATGCCTCGGGGCTGCTGGCGAGGCCGGGGCACGCCCTGCCGGGTGACGGGGTACGAGTTTCCTTCCGAGACGCTGTGCATGCACATTATCAAGCGGGGCCGGGATGAGCTGCTGCAGTTCATGGGCATAGGGGTCAAGCCGCTGACGGAGGGCCAGTACACAAACCTTGCTGCATCGCTGATGGCCACGGGAGTGCTGGGTCTCAAGGCGTCGACGCGGCCGCTGCAGAATCTCTCTCTCCAGGCGCCCGGGTACCTGGTTGCACCGCAGCTGGGCTGGCCGACGCCGCTGCTGCGCAACAACCCGCAGGTGGAGGTGTGCAACGGCCTGGTCGACGGAGAGATGGTCCCGCCGGGCCCGTTTGCGCTGCGAGACTACAAGGTCCCGTTTGCTGCCGTGGCGAGCTCGGTGCTGCTGCGCACCGAGATGCGGGCGCCGGACGACATCAAGGAGTACGTGCAGATCCGGGCTCTGAAGCGGGAGGCCCGGGACCAGCCGTTCCGGCGGCACGCGGACAGGGCGCTCTCGTGCCTGCAGGGACAGGTGCGCAATGAGCTCAAGCGACTGCTGGAGTCCGAGTACGGGCGGCTGTACTCGCCAACGGTGCCCGCTGGTGGCGCTGGTGGCGCTGACCGAGCTACGGCGCGCCCCGCGGCGGCAGCAGCTGCTGCCACTGCCACTGCCACTGCCACTGCCACTGCCACTGCCACTGCCGCTGCTGCAGCTGCTGTCGCCCCTTCTGTACCACGACCTAGTCGAGCAGACCGGTTTAGGCAGATGCTGGACAAGAAGGCGAAAGAGAAGAGAGCGCAGAGGCCGGTGTTTGCACCCCCACCCGCGGGCTGCGGGGTGATGCCGCCGTCCGACGACGAGTACGAGGAGCCTGCCGGCGGATGGCCGCGCCTGGAAACGGGTGGCTACCATGGCGAGGAGGATGGCATTGAGGAGGAGGAGGACGATGGGTACTCTGAGGAGGACATGGCTGGGGTGCCACTGACCTACTCGGACCCGGATGGCGGATATTTGCCAGTGCCTGTGGACCGGACCAATATCATCAAGAGACACCTGGACGACGAGGATGACGGTGAGCGCAAGAAGCGCAGACGGGCTGACGAGAGGCCCAAGAAGCGAGCTTCAAAGGACCTGTCGAGACCGAAGAGGAGGGCTTCTGGGCGATCTGGGGTCGCCGCTGAGGGGGCCAGGAAGTTTAGCACGGCTAAGGGCAAGGAGCCAGCCAAGGAGCCCAGGGCACCCAAGGACCCGTCGAAGGCCAAGGAGCCGGCC